GTTCAGCAGCTCAGTGATATAGTGGTGCTGAGCTGGACTGGGGTACTGGAGAGTGTACAGGATACTGGAGAGTGTGCAGGATACTGGAGAGCATCGCTCATAACCACACCAAATAATGCTGCAGGAATCGAGTCAGGTGTTGATTCAAGCCTGGTTCAGCACCAGATCCAACCTCCTCTGCCTGCTTCAGCATCTTTTCTAAGGGGTTGATTCCATTTTCTGGTCTGAGGTTTTTGGACTTGCTGGCTCTGACAGGTTCCTGTTTGTGTGGCACTGATTCTGTACTGAAATTTTCTCTTGATTGTCTTCAGCTTTGAGGTGAATTTTGAAAGGGATGCTTGGAGGGGAGGGGGAATTCTACTTACTCAGTTGTAAGAAATGTGTGGGTTTTTTAAAACAGAATTAACTCTTGGACTTGCACTCAGAGAGTTTGTAGTTAAAGCTTTAGACCGGTGTGTGTATGGTCCGTAGTGTGTAGTCCAGTGCCATTCACACTGTGTGATGACTTTGAAGTGAGCTTTAGCTCGGTGATTCCAGATTGAGGCACAGTAGCCTGCAGATTCTGCTTTGGTTTGAGTATTTTTCTGATAAATCAGTGTCAGACTTCTGGAGGGAGTTGGTAATGTGATGCTACTGCTGAGATTCCAAAAGCATCGAAGCGAAGTGAATGGGAACTGGTTCCACAACTGTTACTGGTCTCACTTAAACAAGTGTAGTGTTTATCGGTGCTATCCCAAGGGGACCAACTTCTGCTGGAGAATAATGACCAAGCCTGTGTGTGTAAAAGTCTGTGCGTGCTCACGTGTGTGTGGAAGGATCTCCCTGGCTGGGAGCTTTAACGCTGTGGTCAGAGTTCAGGGAGTTGTTCTGACAGATGGCCAGTTGCGTTCAGTGCGTGCTGCTGTCTTGGAGCCTTTCACAGATATTCAACCAAAGGCAAAGCAAGAGGCTTTGGACCATTTTACCTTCCCTGTGCAGCTTTAGTATGGTGAATGTCTTTTAAAAATGAACGCATTTTAAAATTGGTAACATCAGGTTTTGCTTCAGTTTGCTCTTCTGCAGTGCGAATACAATATTGGTTCCTATTTGAAAAGCCCTGTGATTTTTGTAAAATAGGTTTTATCTTGGCTTTTTTTGTCCTGAATGGGCATTTATATTCTGTAAACTTGTACAAATTACTCGCCTTCCTTGTCAGTAGCAGGAGGGTTTGAGTGTATATATATATCTATATCTATATCTATATCTATATATCTTTATGCTTATGACATGAGTACTGCTCATTTATAGGTATTTGTAAAGCTCCACACAAGCTACCACCGTTACCTGCATCTGCTATTTCTTGCAAAGCAGAGGTTTACTGCAGCGTGTGGGCAGATCCAAGTCTCTTCCTGACCGTGAGATCTGCTTTGTTCTGCAAACATGAAATGGAAATGAGAAGGAAATTGCCTGGGATGTGACTGGCAAAACCTTGTTCCACAGATGAGCATCTTGCTATTAAAACACAGATGGATGAATAGAATATTCCCACATTAGCAGCAGTGCTTTGGAGCTCCTTTGCTATTGCTGATCTAGAATTGATCTTCACACTCCTTCTAGATGAGCTGAATTTCACCTCATTTACTGCTTGAGCGAGATACAGATACTTCAGGCTGAGCTCTTGTCCACATAGACACAAACTTCAGCAGCTTGCGCAGTGTTTTAGAAGAAATACGCATTTTTCTGACGGGAGAACACGAATAATTCTTTCTCCTTTCAGTGCATAGTTTGAATTAATACGAATGGCTGCAACATCTGCATGTGTAGGGCAGAGACCCTGGTGTTGTGGAGCAGTTGTGTTGTGCTGCACCAGCTCCTCCAACCTGGGCAGAGCCTCAGACCCTGCTGGGGATCCCTGAGCCAACGGTCGGTGGCCAGGAGCCATTCACAGCTTTCACGGTGTCTCCTCCTGAGCCCTGCTTGTGAATTCTCAGTTTCAAGCCCAGTTTGGGACCCAGGATGTATTTTGCAATGCAAGGCGTGTTAAAGTGTAGTGTTATGGCCCTGTGTTCCTGTCTTACCGAAGCGTGGTCTGTTTGGAAGAGTGGTTTTTGCTAAACGCTAACAAAACTCCTTCAGTGAGTCCTAAAAACTGCTGCTTTGGCTATAAAAACCAGTGGTGTGAATTCAGGAAGCTGCAAAAAGTGAACTGTAAATAAGCATATGCTAAATGTGTGGAAATCCATCAAGGGTTTGGTCAAGGGTGGCAGGAGCACTGAGAGCTGGACCTTACCTAGTCAGAGAGTGTATTTGTTCTGTACTTAAGTCAACATTCAGTCACTAGGAAAGCATTTTTGTGGGGTTTTTTAATAGGCATTGCATCAGGCTCTTTATTTTGCTTTTTTTCAAAGTCCTTACAAAATGACTCAATGTGAATTTGCTGTTTGTACCATATATTTGTGTGCTCCTTTGTGTTCATCGCCTGTATTGCAGTGGAATAGAAATATTTAATTTAAAGGCAGTATTCCACGGTACGATGGGAAGAATACACACATGAACTCACTGCTTCTCTGCAACCAGAAAAGAGAAAAGGTAGCGTTTCTCAGCAATAAATGTAGAGCATGACAATGATTTCACTTTGATTCATGGAGAGATGGAGCGGCGTGGTTATGAGTACAGTGACAGTGATGGAGTATAGGGTTTTAAGTGTTTGCAAATGACCTGCGGGGATTTTTACAAGCCAATATGAAGGCCACGTCTCAATCTTACATATTAGACATGTCTAGGAGAAAAAAAACAAACCCAAAAAATGCCCAGCGATGTTTTTCTTGCTGGATCTCATAGCTGCAGTGTGTGTAAATGAATTATGTGTCACCCTTTTAGTTCCAGTCAAGTTTAAACCTCAGGTGATGACTTCTTTGGAACTGGAAGCTATTGTGCATTGGGATAACTATGATATAGCAGCTAGCACAGAAACATGCCAGGCAGAAAAGGACCTGGGGTGTTGGTGGCAGCAATGCCCATGAGCCAGCAATGTGCCCTTGAGCCAAGAAGGCCAACGCCATCCTGGGGTGGATGAGAAGGGGTGGGTGTAGGGCAGAGAGGTTCTCCTGCCCCTCTGCTCTGCCCTGCTCACACCACAGCTGCAATCTTGTGTCCAGTGCTGGGCCCTCAGCTCAAAAAGGACAGGAACTGCTTGAAAGAGTCCAGCAGGGCCACAAAGTGATGGAGGGAGTGGAGCATCTCCTGCTGAGGAGCGGCTGAGGGAGCTGGGGCTCTTGAGCTTGGAGCAGAGGAGACTGAGGGGTGCCCTCATTCCTGGGGATCCATTGGGAAAGGGCAGTGTCAGGAGGAAGGAGCCAGGCTCTGCTCTGGGATGGCCAATGCCAGGACAAGGGGCAATGGTCCCAAGCTGGAGCACAGGAGGTTCAAGCTGAAGATGAGGAGAAACTTTGTGAGGGTGAGGGTTATGGAGCATGGCCCAGGCTGCCCAGAGAGGTTGTGGAGTCTCCTTGTGTGGAGACACCCAAAGCCCTGGCCGTGTTCCTCTGTGACTGCTCTGGTGATCCTGCTGTGGCAGGGGTTGCACTGGGGGAGCTTTCCAGGTCCCTTCAACTCCTCACATTTGGGATTCTGTGATTCCTATCCAGCCTCTGCTGTTAAAGTCACAACCAGGCAGTTCAACCACGATGCTTCTCAACCAGAGTTACCTTAGTTGTAAATGTGGTACCTGTAGAAATCTCTCACGGGTCTGTGACAGCAGCTGGATTTAAAGAACACTGTTTTATCCTTAACATTCACAGAGAGAAAACAAAAAAAAAGACTTTATATCTACTGGATTTTTTCTTTGGGAACATGTAACTTCCACAAACCTCACTGCTGTTTCTGCCTGGGAAAAGCAGGCAGTGGCAACTCCTGCTGTAGCCCTGTGGTTGTTCAGTGACCCGTTAACAGCTCGTCCCTCGGTGCTTGGCCAAGCGTCAGTGCTTCCTTTTGATCTTGGATTTAGAACTGGGAAAAAACCAAACTTACTCAGCGTGTTAAAAGTGAAACCCAGGTATTGTTTATTATGTGTTAGGGATTTCCAGAGGTTCTCTTAGGTCCCTTTTGTTGTTCCCCCTGTCCTGGTGTTTTTGCTGTCTTTTTCCTAGTTTCACGTTTGCCCATTTCCAGTGGAAGCCTTTGGCTGTTTAACACCACATTGTGTTGTGAGGAGTTTCCTCATCTTCTCTCCCAGGCAGCTAGAATATCAGCTCTATCATCTTTGGTTGTTGCAGGCCAAATGTTAGTCCTTGAAATGCGACGTTTCCTATAAAAATCTGTGTGTTTCTCAGTGAAAACCATGACTGATACGGATGTCTGAAAAATTAAGCTGAAACCATTGGAAAATCAGCTGTTTCTGCTGTAAGACTTAGGAAGATACAGTCTTTATATAAAGAAAATTGTTTTGCGCCCTTATAAAACGCTTAAAAGCCAAGATGCGTGGCAATTCACATGGCTTTTCTTGTGTGCTCATAGGATGGACAGAACCCGGGTCCACCGCCACTGATCCCAGGCCTGGGGCAGCAGGGAGGACAAGGCCGTCTTGGCCCTCACAACCAAGGACCTGGTCTTAATAAAGGTAATTAATCCGTCTGTCAGTAATTCTCCTCAAAGAGGCTGTTGAGGGCAGTGCCTTTAGACAGAAAAGGCAACAGCAGAGCCCAGGGCTGTGGCTGAGAGGAAAGCTGCTGTAGCCGTGGGCTGGACTGTAGAGGAAAAGCTTTCCCCCAAAATTCCCTAATGTGAAATATACGGTGTGTGCTTTGTAGAGCGTCCTAGAGCGTTTCCAGAAAACGTTACAGAAACCTGCTATGATTTTTTCCCTCAAGGTGACTCCCGTGGTCCACCAAACCATCACATGGGCCCTCTCTCAGATAGAAGGCACGACCAGAACAGTGGTGGTCCTGAGCACGGGCCCGAGAGAGGGTTGTTTCGAGGTGGCCAGGAGTGGGGTGATGGTAGAGACAGCAGGGGCATGCCAGATAGACGAGGACCTCACCCAGATTTCCATGATGACTTTGATCGACCAGATGACTTCCGTGACGACTTCCATCCAGATAAGAGATTTGGCCATCGGTTGCGGGAATTTGAGGGGAGAGGAGGCCCACCGCTGCAAGATGAGAAATGGAGACGAGGTGGACCTGGGCCTCCCTTTCCTCCCGATCACAGGGAATTTGAAGGAGGGGGTTCAAACCGTGGGCCTCCTGGTGCTTGGGAAGGACGGAGACCTTCGGATGATCGATATCCACGGGATCCTGAGGATGCACGGTTCCGAGGAAGACGGGATGAGAGGTAAGAACAAATCCGCTCCTCTCGTGGGGGTTGAGGGGCGACTGGAGGGAAGTCTTTCTTCCTGGTTTCCTTTTCATTAAGGAGTCTATCTGTTTCAGATTTATAAACTGGAAACCAATAAGGAAATGAAAACTCTAATATACCTGAGTATAGAGTCCATAAAAATCATTCAGTAATAGAAGAAAACTTGAAAAGTGGTCATTGTACACAGCAGCTTCCGTGTCTTTAAACAGTAAGTAAAGAGAAGGGAGGAATTGGTAGAGAAGATCCAGTGGCACAGGATGAAGATCTGAGACCGTTTTGATGACAATTGAGAGGAACTGGAAGGTTAAAGTGAAACTTTTGAACACTAGAAGTGGATTTTGAGACTTTGTCTCCGGTCACAAACTCTGGCTTGACTGTCGAGACACTAGAGTGAGCCGTAACGTACTGGTGAGGAGCAGGAACAGTGATGCCACCATCAAACGTAAGGGGCAGAGCTGCAGCGTCTGTGGGACTGTTGAGACTTCGTTTTCTCATGGGTTTTGGTTTTTTTTTTTGCTTGTAGAAATTTTATTTCTCTTTCTGACTTATTTCTTAATGCCAAGCGAAGAACTCCAAAACAATCTGATCGACAGCAATGCCCGTGTCATTGCTCATAACTTCCAGATAAATGGCAAAGGGATGAATTTGCTTCTAGTTACCGGTGTAAATATGGAGGAATTACGCTAAATGGGCAAGGTTAACAGAATCGCTCCAGATTGACACCGTTTTAATGAGTTCAATTTGGCCTCCAAGGTCTAAGCCTCTCGCTGACCACCAACACTATGTGTAAAAGAACGTGTACTTGTGCAAATATATCGTGGTCTCCACATAATGTGAATTTTGTGTGTTTTAGTTGCCTTTGAAATAATTTTCTTACATTCCTTTTACTTTGCATCTATACAGCTCTTCCTTTAGCTGTTTTCTACCTAGCTCTGTAAAGACGTTATCTTCCCTTTGTGTGAAGAGTATGAAAGGAAATGAACAGTAACTAAAAGAAGGTAACAATTAAAGCCATTTTAAAGCAGTAAATTTAGAGAGAATCCGAGCGGCATGGTCTGCACTAGAGAATCCAACCAGACACAGCAGACACCACTGTAGACTTTTCAGGTCTTCTATTGGAAATGCTTAGGGACTGGAAAATGCTTTATGCTGATCCTGATGTTTGCAGAGGTTTCAGGAGGAGAGTCCAGGCATCCTTGTGACCTGCAGATCTGGGCGCTGACACAGACTGCAGAGTGTTTGCACGGAGTTTGGTTTCAGAGGAGTCGGCACGGGGCTCTAAAAGCTGCTTGTGCTCGCAGACCTCACGAGTTCCTTTGAATGCAGGGGAATTCGGTGCCGTTTAGTGCAGATGCTGAGGTGAACTTGAGAATCCCATCCCTCGCTCAGCTGACTTGGAGTTGAGATTGTAACTGCTTTGATCAAGCATGAGAGGGAAGTGTGTGTCTGTGTGTTTCTCTCTAATTTCCCGTCCTTTTCATCCCTGTCCTGCTCTTGCTCTACCTGTGCGTATCAACACGATGCTTCTGCCGCAGAGACCTGCCTCTTCCTGCCTGCTCATCCGCAGTGTAGTTCTGTACGTTAAGTCCTAGGCCTCAAGGAGGGACATCAGAGAGCAGTCAAACAGGAACCAAGCCCTGTGCGAGGCAGGGTTTTGTGCGTGACTGATAGGAGAAAGCGAGACAGGATGCACAGAACACGACATTAGGAGCTGTGGCTATGTCAGGCTTAGGTGTGATAGATTTCAGAGCTCAGCCGTGTCCGTAACATTGCCTGGAAGCAAAAGGAAAGGCCCCATGCCTGCTGGCTACGGGGCCTCGTGTTGCAAACCTTGGTAAATCAACCACGTCAGTATTAAACCGGGAGGCGCTCTAAAGAACATCCAGAGGATCGTGCTGTTTCAAGGCTAACCAACATTGCTCTGTGGTTATCTCTGAACCATTGGTACCTGAAACCGTTCAGTTTGTTTTCCCAAATCGCCCAGGGTAACGTAAGATGGTTCACTGTCTACACACAGCGCTCCCTCCATCCACTGTTGTACCTACACGGGCACAGCAGCCTCCTCTCTGTGTTGTGTTTGTTTTCTGGGAGGTGGAAACAGACCTATTGTTTTTAATTAAAAAAAAAAAAAAAGAAATGTAAAAGTTTAAAAATATTGTATTGTGTTATGACTACTGTTAAAATATTTAAATTTGTAATTAAAAGGTTAATGTTGTTAAAATTCTAAATAAAAGTATCTAAAGTTTTGCTTGTAATAGGATGCACCGTGTCGTTAATGAGCCGGGGAAGGGGATGTTGCACCGAGTCACCACCGTTTGAGCTCTGTGGTGGTTCCGGTTTGGCCAGTGTGGAAACGGGGCACAGAGGGGAGGCGGGGGGCGCAGTGTGGCTGGGCACAGGGCACTCTGCACTAGCCCAGCTGTCCCCAGGGGTGGGCAGCAGCGCGGGGCTGCGCCGAGGGCTCCTGAGCCTGTGTGCCTGCACCTCCTAAACACGTCCCCTGTGCTCGCACAGAAACTGGGCTGAGAGCCGAGACAACCACCAGTGCTGTTGGGGTGGCAGGAGTGCACTGCACAGTTCACAAGCACTCCAGGGGTTTGAACTGGTAACGTGAAAACCCAAACCACTGGTGTGCCTGCAGCCGTCTCTGGGCTGACCTGAAAGGGCCCTGGCAGTTCCTTAAGAGTGCTCCTTCGCTCTGAAGATCTCTGTAAAAACCCCAGTTGTGATACTGCAGGAGCTCATTTAAGATGAGATGCAGAACCCGATCATACCAAATTACCGGTGCTTATTAGAAGGAAGTTATTGACTTTACTGTCATGACTGCAGTTTGCAAACCAAAATTGCTCCTGATGATTGCGGTTGGATGAACTGCTCCTCAGGCTGCAGTGGACCGCTGTGCAGTGCTCAGCATCAGCATCCCTAGAGCCAGGGGCAGTCCAGGTTCATTTGCTAGAATTGTGAACTCGTGAGAATGTAAGGGAAGAAAGAAAGCTCTAGCAAGAGAGTCCCAGCTCAATAGGAATGAATGTGGACTGGTTTGTTACAGCCGAGCCACGTGGCTTGTGGTTTTCCCGGGTTATCACTCAAATGGAAGTGGGGGAGGATGGGGAAGGGAAGGGGAAAGTAAAGACCAGCACAGCTTAAGGAAATGCACTGACCCTTTTCCTTACCATGGCTTCTATCTGTCATCACTCACTGACTTTTCTTCCCTTTCAATTAACTGAATGCAGTGTATTTGATGATGTTTTTCTTGTCTGAAGAACCCAACACAATCCGCAGAAGGAAATATGAGGGGACACTATAAAAATGAATAAAGAAAAGTGCTCAAAGACAGAGAACGAGCACTTTTCCACCTGCAACCCCTATTCTAGTCACTGTATGTGCTATAGTGTGAAGTAAACCAGTTCAGTAATGAGTTGATATTAACCTGAAGCTGACTCGAGTTTATCAACCTAAATTCTGCCTAAAAACCACATTTGTACCATGTTCTTTCTTGTAGCTTCAGAAGAGGAGGACCCTCGAGACATGAGGGCAGGGGACCCAGGGGCAGAGATGGCTTTCCTGGCCCTGAAGATTTTGGGCCAGATGACGCTTTTGACTCTCCAGACGAAAACTCCAGAGGAAGGGACCATGGCGTTCGGGGGAGAGGTCGTGGTGCTCTTAGAGGTGAGGGGAACCTTCCACGCTGTAATGCAAGGATAAGGAAGCAAAGACATTTCTTGAGCAAATTATTTTCCTGAATACGATGTCTCTTCTCACTCCTGTCCCCTCCAACTCTCACTGCTTAGGAGGCCGGAAGGGTTTGCTTCCTACTCCAGATGAGCTTCCATGCTTTGAAGGGAGGCGGAAACCAGAATCCTGGGATGGAAACAGAGAACCAGGTAAAAAATGTGGTGAGGTTTGGTTTAGGTGTATTACATTTTAGGTATATTACATTATATTATGTTACTAGTCATCTAAAATAGAACCACTTGTTAAACCACAAAGTTTAAATCACTTGTTTTCCCTGTACCTCATGTGCCCATTATCATTCCCTTAGCACCAGAAAAGCAAAACACAGCTCTTTGGACTGCTAAAGTCAGTCAAGAAAACCCCTATACAGAATTGAGTGGTGCTAAATGGAGCTGTCTCATGGGAAAAAAAAACTGACTGTGGCCTCAAAGTCTTGATTTTTAAGTTAAATTCCTGTACAGCCCAGAGCTGCCTTTTGTTGTCACCTGTGGGTGACTGAAGCGTATTTTGTGGGGTTTTTTTGAGATGTATCTTAATGCCAATAGTGATTTTCCTCCTGGATGGTATCTTCTCTGTTTGCAAAAATGACATTTTCAGCTGCAATGCCTGGCAGCTTATTGGTATTTGCATTTGTGTTACTAATGGAAACCCCATATGGGGCAAAACTGAGCTTTAGAACGTCACGGAAAAAACCAGCACAAATTACGTATGAATAAATAAAGATGAAGATGTGATTGTTTCTAAAATATATGAAAATATTTTATACCACCAAGAACACTTTATAGCTGTCGCTTCTTTCTTTCCCATCACCTTTTAAACTGGTTTTATCTTGCGCTTTCTTACAACTTGTTCATCGAGTGTTTGCTTGTTGGGACGCAGGGCAGGAGCTTGATGTGATTTTAACTTAAAGCTGCGTGCCAGCTACTGTGGAAAATCTGTAAATTTAAGCGACTGCCTCCAGAACTGAGGGCTGTGAGCAGATGAACTGTAGATATGATCCCGTTTTCTCTCCGTGCGCAGGGCCCCGTGCGGATCACCCTCACGACAGGCACTCCCCGGCCAGCAGAGAACGCTCTGCTTCGCTGCAGGGCATGGACATGGCCTCGCTGCCGCCGCGGAAACGTCCCTGGCACGACGGACCTGGCCCCTCTGATCACAGAGAAATGGATGCTCCGGGTGCAGCCCCAGAGGAGAGGGGCAAAGGTAAAGAGCCCCTCGTGTGGGAACCTGGCATAACACTGGCACATCTTTCAGCAGCAGGCGTACCCAGAACTGCTCATCTGTCCAGGGCGGATAAAGCTGAACTGGTAAATGCTTCGTCTTACGAGCTGTGAAGCTGAACACCAGTCTTACAGGAACAGAACAGGGGATTTTCTGGGACATCAAGCCCAGATCTTCCCTTCAGCATCACAGAACTCTTCTTCATTGCTCTGTTCAAAAGCAGTTCGTTTTTGGCTCCCTGTTACTCCGGTTGCAAAACTGTTCTTGGGAGCTTTTTTTCCTAATTTTCAGAAGTTATTTGTAGGCTTTTTTGAAATATCCATTCTTGTGTTAATGTCTTTTAACTCAAATATTCATCTTTCCTCTCTCAGCCTTCACTCTCTCAGACTTAAAGAACTTTTTTTAAGTCTTTCCTTATGAGCTCTTTCCTTGTAAGAGTGCAAGCATGGCCATCCATGAGCAGGCCAGGAGCCCACAGAGCTCAGCAGCTTATCTCCAATAGCCAGGAGCAGGTATGAAGAGCTTTAAGAACACTGAGTCTGTGCTGATGTGTCCCTGAAACGCTCTTTAAACCTATGGAGATCTGGAGGTTTGGGGGCTTTCTCCAATTGCTTTAGGAATCAAACTTTTGACATCTACAACACTAAAACTGAACTGCAATGGATTATGCTTTTTAAAAAGAAAAGGAAAATGTTCTTCTCTTGTTTTAAGCCTCTCATTCACTGATTTCCTTTGATGATGTCTTGTGCTTAACTGAAACAGTGGGCAGTTGATCCCTGTTATTTCTGATTGCATCAAACTCTTACCATTTCCAGCCTGAACCAGCTCTCCTCCAGGTCAGAGCTCTGATCGGTTCAGCTGTCCTCTCTAGGAAGCTGTTCTGTATCTTCTCCTATCCTTATTACCCTGTATATACCAGTTTCAGTTTAAATTTATCCGGTAACTAGGAATCGCATGCAGTATTTCCAATGTGGTTTAACCGTGGATTTCTGCAGTTCACTTGGGGTTTTTTTAAGTTTTCTCCATTTTTTCCCAATAGCTCCTAATGTCACGTTTCCCTCTTCAACTGCTACCAAACAGGCACTTGGCATCATCACGCGGCTCGCTGCTGTACCCACAGAACACTCGATTTTGGAGTCAGCAGCTGGTTCAGAGCCCAACACCGTGTATGCCACTTCCACAATGATCCCATTAACCTTGCACCAGTTCTTGATCCTTTTCCTTCTCAAACCTCAGGATTGCCATCATCTTTTCTCCATGTTGTCTTTATTTTAGCGTCTTCATATTCACTACCCACTGTTGGGTGATGATGGGTGGCAGAGATCCTTCTCGGTTGCTTCTGGAGCTGTCTTGTTCTTGTTCTTGTTCGACCTCTGCTGCACAGCTTTGGCTCTGATGCCACTGAATTTCATCCCACTTCTCTTCTTCTTGTCCTGAAGCTCACTTAGGTTCAACCAGTCCTCCTCTACATGGACTGTGTTTCAGTGCTGTACCAACACATTTATCATTCAGTCGCAGATGTTTTAAACAAAACTCTGCTGGAAAACTCCCTCTGTAGCAGTATTTTCCCTTTCCAAACTCTGTTGTTTCTCATTTCACCTGCATCTCACCAAATCTGTAAGGATTCCTTCTCCAGCTTCAATAGCAATTGGTGGTAACTCTATTGGATTCTTTATTAAAGTCAAAACAGTTATTAACTGGCAAATGTTTTGTGCCTAGACAACTCATTAATGTACCCAAGAAAGTTCAGAACAGGGGCAGAAGCCTTATAAACAAAACCTGAACAATACTTGGTCATATATGGACTGTGTCACCTTCAGTTCCCAGAATTATTGAGGCTGGAAAAGACCTCTGAGATCATCAAGTCCAGTTGTATCAAAGTAATTTAAGGAATTATATGAACTATAAACAGTGGAACAATTTGGTCTCCATTTTACACAGAACCAAGCAGAATCAACAACAACAAAAAATCACTGCTAGTGGAGTAAAAACCTCCTAATTTATCTGTAGCACATGTCCTGAAATCAATGTTTCTATCAGGTTTTTTTTCCAAATACTTCTTGCTATTTTGAGCTAGTAACCTCAGGGGGGGTTATGTTAATTTACAGAGCAGTACTAAAAAGATCAGTGAGAAGGAGAAAATCCTGTTCCTGGTTAGGAGGAAAATAGAGCATTTTTAATTTCTGGCAAAAAAATGAATGAAACTGTAATGTTATTGATTGTCTTCACCACCACCTCAGCAGATCCATCAGTGCCATGTCTTTGTTTAGGGGGGAAGAAAAGAAGTGGTGTGCAATAAAAATATAGAGAGAACCACAGATGATGTCAAGCATCAGGTATGCCTGGCAGTTCTGAGGACACCACTATCATCTCTGCATTTAGCTGATTGCCGACTGTATCACATACAATCTCATTAGTGCCCAGGGAATTGTTTGGTTGCTGCCCATCTCCTGCACTGTGATGGAGACACTAAATCAATGTAAGAAAAACAATATAAGGAGAGGAGGCATAAAATGACAGGTCTCAGCTACATTTGGTCTGTGAATGGCTACATCACAGGAGAAATAGCTAAATATACGGTGTCTGAGAAGAGGCACGGCTGAGATTGCAACGTCAGTAACTGACTGTGCTTCGTTTTTAGGACGAGGCAATTCGGGACCTTCGCAGAGAGCGCCGAAATCTGGGAGGTCCAGTTCTTTAGATGGAGACCATCACGATGGATTCCACAGGGATGAAGCTTTTGGTGGAGGCCCTGCAGGAGGCAACAACCCTTCTCGAGGAGGAAGGAGTGGGAGTAACTGGGGAAGAGGAAACAACATGAACTCTGGTCAGTCAAGAAGAGCAGCGTCCAGAGGCGGTGGGAGAGGCCGATAGAAGAGGCTTTGACTGGGTGACACCCAGTCCTTGCTGGACAATATTTAAATAGACTGCTATGCTGGACTCGTCAAGTAACCCTGTGACACCACAGAGCTGGATTCTTAACTGGGATAACTGAATGTGCATTAGTTCCTAACAGGAGTCTTTTCCTAGATCAACCAACTGCTACTAGCTGCAATACTGCGGCTAGCTTTCTGTTCTGTCCTCTCCACCCCCCTTTTCCTACTTTGTTTTGTGAAGAGCTGGAATTTTTACTAAGTGTTGTGGGACATGGAGCACCTCCACAATTTCAGTTCACCTCCAGACAGAAACTTGTTTCTATATGTACATTTTGTCAGAAGTTACGTTGGTTTTGTATGAATACAGAATGTAATTTGCGCAAAAATGAACAAAACATGAACACGGTGTGTGATTCTTTACTCACCTATTGCTATAAAGAGGGTCGTCTTTAGGCAAACTTGTGTACCAGATGCAGCAACAGAACTACCTCCTGAAATCTCAACCGCTTAAAATACTCAGAGCCGATTCCTATCTGGTTTATCACGTGTAGAGAACTTGCATTTCCACCTTTAGCCACAGTTGTGTACAGATTACAACTGGTCAGATTCCAAAACACGGGAGATCACCGCTGCTTGCTAGTCTACCAGCCTGCAAGAGAAAAACGTGGGACACCGTTTAGCAAAAGCTGTCATCAGCACAGGACATCAGGGCAAACACCGGCATGCAGCGCTTCACCTGAGCAGCTCACAGGTTTTTGTTCTAAACAGCATCTGCTTAGAGAAACTGAGGAAGAAAGGAGTTTAGCAGCTTGATTACTACGGATGCACGTGTTCTACAGCGGCTGTAGGATGCATTGCTAAAGATGCAGGGGTTCAGTAGAGTCTGGGGCATCCAGTGCTGAAGTACAAACCTTGACAGTCGATCCCTTTCATCTTAGCATTTGTAAATTATCTTTAGGATACCGTTTCCCAGTTTTACTAGGGGAGGGAAATGAGACGGAGGGGTTATTCCCATTTTCCACATGTCATAATAAAGCTGCTTACCAACCACGGCTTTGTTTTCCCCATAAATCATTCGTATTCACCGTCTCCGGTCACCAGGCTGTCAAAGGGCTCCTTTAACACCTAAAGCCTCAGTGAAAGTTTTACCACGTAAGTACATGCTCCAAAGCCAGCTCTCAGGAAGGTCCCACTTTAAAAGTATAGGATATAATGTATAGTGAAAAGCATCACTGCCAGGCCTTGAGTTTCATGTAATAATACCATGACATGGCACTGTAGTTCTGTAGCTGACAAGGTTACTGCATTGCAATACATTGCAATATCGTAGCAATTGCCTGTATTTATTACCTTAAGAATGCAATCATGTATTACAGTGTACACACTGCACTGCACAGCAGCTGTTTTACCTGACTCCTCACTGGGTCAGATTTACTGAAGACTGGCTGATCTATCTTATTTAAAGAGATCCAAGCGTAGATGCTGAACTGCTGTTCTCTTGGTTCAGTCACGAGTAGGGGGGGTTTTCTTAGCTTTTAATCTGTAGTGTATAAAAATGGCATTTGAAAATGATAGTAATGAAGTCTGATCATCAGCCTGTAAAATCCTCGTCATGAGGCTGCAGTCAGATGAGATGCTCTTAAAGGGATTAACTGGGAAACAGCTGAGATGCATCCAATTCTCCTTTACAGGGGAAAAAAAAACCCTGCATTTTACCTCTACCTACAGTTGGGAGCTAGGATCTGTCAAGAAGTGTTAGTAATAAATGCCTCTCATTTAATCATTAGCAAAAGGGAAAGCATGCCTTTTTTTTTAAGGGGCTGAAAGTTACTTTTGTCTCCTAGTTAGAATACGTGATTTAGAGGATGAGCTTTAGCCCTTAATTAAACCACCGTCCTCCACCAAAACAAGTCAGAGTGCACCTAATAACAGGAAACTCATCTTCATCTAGACTGAAGGGAGCACGCTTACTTTTCCTCTGATGGTTGGTTAACTCCTTAAACCACTTTGGTATTTGGCATTAAGTGGCAGCTTTTTTAATTACGCTGTGAAATACTCCACAACCATGGAATAGGCACAAAAAGTCCTAAGAAAACTGGGTAATTGGCTGTTGTATAAGATCTTCATAAGGCGACAGCACAGCAGGAGAGACAGAAGCAGCTTCCCAGACTGTGATACCATGAGCCTCTATTGAATTGGTAATTGATAAAATGGGAATATACTTCTACTATATATATACTATATATACTTCTATACTCAGAATCCTCATGCTCTACCTGCTAGTTTACAATTCCCCCCTGTCTAAGACTTGTTTAACTTGATACTGCTCTTAGGAATCAAATTTATTTTATATACTATAGCTGAGAAGTTGGAAACATGAGAGAACTAATTTAGTGCTATTCAGATGGCTCTGATCTACATTTTTAAGGAAAAATAAAGGGACCATTAGTGGAATGTCTATACTGACATTTGGTAGACAAACAGTTTTATTAAAGCAATCTATGTGTACATTTAAGTACCCCCGTTTAACAAGTTCAGGCTAATTCAGAGCAAGTATTGGGTGAATACGCTAAACCCTAAGTAGCGATGGCTGATAAATATTGCTGTGTTTGGCTGTATTTCGTATACGAGGCGTGTATACTCAGTGAGATACTCAGCCTCTGAGCAGGTTAGGCCTGGCAGTCCCGTTTATCCGCAGAAGTGCGGTATCCAGCCCAGGCTGAAGCACTGAGCTCTTGGCAGGGACTCACAGCCTGGATTCAGCACCTCCCTGAGGCTGCTTGGTTTCTGCACTGAGACAGAGCTGTGCTAGCTGCCAGAGGCTCTCATTGCAAATCTACTTCTGAAGATCACGCTGCGACAAGCAATTCCTGCTCGAGTTGAGTGAAAAATATATATATATTAAAAAATAAAGTTTAAAGACCTGAGGCTACCACTCAGAGCCCAAGTATTCACTACCTTACAGCAACTGTAGGCAGCGATAATTGCAAAGGCCAAGGCTCTTACCCAAGATTAGCACCTTCCATCCTATCCTTGTCATGCAAGAAGACTACCCCTACAAGTACGGGCAGTCTTTGGGACCCACAGATGCAGGAAAGTTTGTTGGAATGGTATTTTGAGGATGGTTTTTAGAAAGAAATGCAGTTCAGTGGCACAGAGTATTCATATTCACCACTGGGCTGAGGTGGCTGATGACTGCACCACACAGAAACTAAAACGATGTGTTCAGAGCATGGGGGTTGCACAAAAATGAGTTAATGTTAACTATCTTTGAAAGTTCACCCCTCTCCTTGACCAGATTTTGCTAGATGTCTGTGTTTCACCATCAGCCTGCCCTACGCAGCTCAGCTGTCAGATACTTGCTTCTCATCTAACGGGCAAGTCAATCATCACATTTCATCGGCTCTGAT